CACCAAGTCTCCCGGTGCGGATCACTCCACTTCACTTTAGGCTTTGCAGATCAGCTCTCTGAATGCAAAAGGTCCACAGTCAAGCAAAGGGAAGAAGAAGGAGGACGAGGGGAGCAGAATAAGTTCAAATGCACCTAACAGAAGAGACAGCCAAAAGAAGGCAGAGGAAGGAAGCAGAATGAATTCGAATTCACAAAGCGGAAAGGATAGCCGAAAGAAGGCAGAGGAAGGCAGTAGAATAAAATCAGATTCACATAGCAAACATGATAGCCAAAAGAAGACAGAGGTAGAAAGCAGAAAAAATTTGAATTTACAAAGTAGACAAGATAGCCTGAAGAAGGCAGAGGAAAGAGAAGAGAAAAGTGAACCTCCTGAAGATGTTAAGACAGCTTCGCCATTGTCCGGCTCGAAAGAATTAGACAAAGAGGTAGCTCTCTTCTACCCACATTACAGTCCCCATCCCGAGACGGAGCAGGCGCAGCATTTGAGCATGGCATAGGATGGGGTACTCGTGTTGTTTCAGTTTGAGACAACTGCCATCTTGTTCCCTGTTGAACAAGGACACCATTCAAACTGCCCCAAAACGAAAATATCACACAAAAGTCTTGGCCGCTGCCACAGTGCAAGTACGCGTCACGCCTACCTCATCTCAGGGATTTTAAGCGTATATGGTTTGATAACAATCACGATCACTGCAGATGCGATTTTCAGGGTCAGCCCAGTCTTGCTGCTGAACTCCAATAGGAAAGTTGTTGCATTAATGGCTTACAATAATTAACTGTGAGAATTAACGTCTATTTGTACGTACTCTGAATAAAGAAATTCTTTTAAATTCAAGTTTCCCAACACTTTAGTCTCTTACTACCTGTAGCTATCGCCAAGTAAAGAAATGAGTGAGGCCATTTGGTGTTCTAGTTCTATGCAAAGGGTTTATGTGGATCTTGACAAAGCAGGCAGCTAAAGAAAGTTTTGTCTGCCACTCACAGTGTTGCTCCTATGTTGCAGAATCACTACAAGCTGGTAGGTCGTGGCAAAAATAATGACCGTTTTCGCACCTGCTATGTTCCACTGATCATAATTCATTGAAAACTTAGGCAAATATAGTAATTTAATATATCGTTCGGAAGCACATTTTTCAAGCTATCGTAAATTTTTTCCCGTTTCTCTGCCACCATTTCTTCTACGATTTTGGGTCACCCGCGAAGATGTTGTCAAGACGCGAAATCCGACTCATCATGCTTCACGAGTACAAACTCGGCCGTAATGCTGCGGAAGCAGCTAGGAATATCACCAACGCATGGGGCGAAGGTACTACAAATGAGCGCACCACGCGTAGGTGGTTCGACAAATTCCGAAATGGAGACTTCAACCTGGAAGATCAGGAGGGACGCGGTCGGCCATCGGAAGTTAAAGACGACGAATTGAAGGCACAGATAGAAGCCAACCCAAGAGCATCCATAAAATTGCTGAAGAGCTGGGAGTTGACTTCGGAACTGTAGCACGTCATTTGAAGAAAATTGGGAAGGTAAAAAACTTGACAAGTGGATCCCGCATGAGTTGACTGAGCACCAGCAATCTCGTCGTCTCGAAGTCTGTTCGTCTCATCTTTTGCGGAACAAAAACGATCCTTTTCTGCAACGCATTGTGACGAAAAATGGATTCAATACGACAGACGACGGTCAGGACAGTGGTTGGATCACGACGAAGCTCCTAAACATTTTCCAAAGCCGGAGTTGCACCAAAAAAGGTCATGGTGACTGTTTGGTGGTCTACAGCCGGTTTGATCCACCACAGCTTCCTGGCTCCAGGAGAAACCATCACAGCGGAGAAGTACTGTGAGGAAACCGAAAA